ATTCCCCCAACGGGCACAACCCTTAGTCTTCCACCAGCGGCCATAACTCCTCGCGTAATTAATACTCAACCGTTGCAACTCTTCGTTTCCCGCCAACGCTTGACCTCATCTTCAAGGCCACCACCAAGACACTTTTACCCTTTGCGTCGTTCCACTCCTCAAGGCTGGGGGGCTTGTGTACCGGGAGGACCCTATCGGTCACGTGGACCAACACGTGCCGTCCCATCAGACACCCACGCGAAGTGAATTATGCCCAAGTCTTGACATCAGCATCGGCTTGGGCTATAACCGAAGGCCAAAGTGAGCCTGATAGCACGATCGGCTCGGCTTGAGGCCGATACGAATAGAACCATAGACATCTTTGCAGGCCACGGACCGGCTCGGACAAGCCCCGAACAAGCAGTTCAGCGCAGCAAACGCGTAACGGCACGGTCTAAGGCCGAGCCGAATGAGGAGGCAATAATTAGAGCCTTCATCGTGGTTAATAAGGATAAGTGCGTGATTAAGGCATAATTAGCCTATTAGCATCGTATTACCTAATTTGGTAAACTTCAGGAGAGGCCCACTACTGACAAGGCCCATCAGTGGTAGTATAAATAGGTCACTTTTGTCAAGGTATGTCACTGTTCATTAATTATCCTAGAATATCGTGCTTGTCCTGACTTGAGCGTCGGAGTGCCTTTTGCAGGTACCTCCCCCTCGCGCAGAAGAGTCCACCCGAAGACCCTCGTTCGGCCCTTTCCCACTGAAGAGTACGAGTGTGCCCTTAGACAGGTACATAACTCATCTTAATTTTTGAATCAAATTTAATTCACATAATCTCTACCACATTTTGAAGAATCAATCAAAAACTTGTTGAGGTTAAAATACGCTAAGCATAAACATATCCTATTACAAACGTAGCAATGGGCAGAATCTAAATATCACACCTAAAGGACTAAACACAACAATTACCAATCTATTAAAAATTATAATTGTTTGAGAAAATTATGTTTTGAGAAAGAGTAATGGTAACCCATGTACATTAAATAATTAAAATTATAAATTAATTAAATAATAAAAATAAGAACCCTAGAGTTGTGGTTTTAGTGACCCTGATTCTCCTAAATTCAATTTGTGTGAATCTTAAATTTTGATTGCCAATTTTTCCTTTCAAGTTGTTAATCACTTTTGATCATGGAAATTAGTAGTCTTTACCTTATACAAATCCTAAATTGGTCATATAGAAACTTATATTGGCAAAACATGAAGAATATAGAGGCTGATAAAATAATCTGATTGGAAGTTTAGAAAACCAGTTTGGTCTTACAATATTTTGAACCCTATTATCTTGTGGTTTTATTAATTAAAATATATTGGTAATGTTTATCAATCAACTATTAAAAATACTTAGATTGATCAATTCCTTATAAGAAGTTAAAATGATAAGATAACCTAATCAACAACAACGAGAATTCACTCAAATTGATAATTTTGAGTTCAAGGAGTACAATTACATCACAACTCTAATAAAGAATTTAACTAGACATTATAGGAAGAAAATATAAAATTATATTGCTAAAACCCATGAGTACAAGAGAAGAAGATTAACTAGACTATGCTATTGTCTATGTAGGCCCTCAATAATAGCACAAGAATGATAGAAAGGAAAAACTAAGAACGCTAAAAAGAGATAAAAATATACTACTAATTTTGTTATTTATAAGAAAAAATAGGATCACAATCCTAGCAATTCGTGCTTAATTTTAACTAAGGGGTGCTTTAAAACAATATGAACATGCATTATTTTAACCACGGGGTGCTTCATGGGTGTGCACCCCAACATAATCGTACTTAATCATAGGGTGCTTCATGGGTGTGCATCCCAATGTGATTGTGCTTAATTTGAACTAAGGGAGTGTTTTGTGAGTAGGCATCCCAACATGGTTGCCCTTTGAGTTAGCACAACTGTGTTGCATCCTTCAACTCTAAATTAAGTAATTTTTTTGCTTCCTTTTGCATCAACTCCCTCATTTGTATAGTTTGTAACGTGTCTGTCACACAATTAAAAAAATGTGAGTTTTGCTAAAGAATGTATGCATTAAATGAGACAAAAAATAATTTATAATATGTTAAAGTGCAATAGATAAGAGATAACAATTTACAAAATACTCCATCTAGACTCATATATAAACAAAAAAGTACCTAAAATTTTTGAGCTCAAATATAAGAAAATTATAATTAACTTAATTCTATTTAATGCTATCATTTAAAAAATAACCCTTAAATTAAATGTGATTATTGTTCCAATAAATATTATTAAGGGAAGTTTAAGAAGTAAATTTTTTTTATATATGAAATCAATAAAAATAAATGAAGTTATTTCCTTAATATGCATGAATTTAAATATTTTTGTTTATATATGAGTTCAAAGTGACTACCTCCTAACCAAAATTACATATGTACACCTTCCAAAGTTAGAATAGTGATGACAATAATTTAGAAGCTTGTCAAAATAGCCATGAACCAAAGAATATGTGTAAATGATTCAAGAATTTCTTTGAGATTTTGGATAACTTTATTGTTTAGTAAATAAATGAACCATAAATATGGTGGCACTATCCAACTTGTCTAGGTAGTTCGAAACTATTGATTGGTATAGAGGGTTACAATATCCAAGATAGCATATGCCAAATCAATGGGTTCAAAAAGGGTGAAGATCTTTAGGGAGCTTGCAATATTTTTATAGTAATTCCACTCGAGGAAGTATTTGGTAAATGGAAAGATTTGAAAGATGAGGAAAAAGATCATGAAATAGTGATGGAAAACTTGTTGAAGAACCGGATTGATGTTGATTCTCTTCAAGTTTCTCCCTAGATCTTTGGCTCCTTGATTCTTCTCAAGCTTCTCCAAGGCTTCCAATGGAAGGAGAAGCCTTGGAATCACCACGGTTGGTGAAGAACACCCTTCAAGAGGCACCACTCCTTGGAGGAAAGATAAGCCCCTTCAATCCTCACTACACTCTTCTATGAAAAGGATAAGAGGATTGGATGAATATCAAAGAGGTTGAGACTTTTAGAAGAGAGAAAATTGTTGAACAATTTCGGAATTCACTCTCATATATGTCAAAAAGTGATTACAAATGTAAGAAAAAGGTTTATATAGGGTGAAGGAAACTTGTGGTGCAAGCTAGGCTAACTATGGTTCAAGAGAATCATGGTTAGCTTAGCTTGACCAGCCTAGTTAGCTTAGGAAGCTTGTGGAGCAAGCTTCTAACTTAGAAGCTTGGGAAGCAAGCTAAGTTAGAAGCTTGTGCTATAAGCTTCCCAAGTGTGCAAGTGAAGCTAAGTAATTCGACCAAGACACCAAGCTAGGCGGCCTACATGCTTTTCTCCATATTTAATCCAATCCAAAATCTTGGAATTGGTTTAGTTAGGTTCACCATATGATGGTGAGACCTAGCTAAATCAATTCCTTGAAAAATATGGAGCAAAACAAGCCCAATATGTAAAATTTGGCCTAGGCCTAGTTCTAGCCCAATTACTAGTTGCACCTACACACCTTACTATTTGTCACCCCACTTTCACTACTGAAAAATATAAAAATGAATGACCCTTAATACAAGGTCAAATGGAGCAAAAGTCTCCAAGTAACATACCCTAAATTCCTAAAGGATAATCTAAAATAAAGAAAGAAAGTGCCTCACAAATACAAAGGCAAAATACACCTATACAGGCAACACTGTGTACAAGTATCATACAATGTATATACAATAGAGACTTAAGAGACTAAAAAGAGGAATCATACTCAATGCTCATGAAGAGCAAAGGTCTAAGAAGCACCTCCTCTGTAAAAGCCTCCTCCAGCCTCCTAACCATAAACCTAGTTAAAGGTTCAATGGCCTTCATGCATGTCTCCTCTTTGGATGGTCCTCCATCAAATAGTTTGGCCTCTAATAATTGTCATTCAAAGTAAAAAACTTGAATAAACAAAAATGGTATCTGGGTATGCATGGGAAACCAAGAACTTTCGTGATTATTTTAGAACATGACTTTCTGATTTTTATAACCATATCCAATAGTTTATTTCCTACAAAAAGTTAATACAATTTTAGTCTCTACATTTTATTAGATATTGTATTAATTTTGTGTAGAATTAAAATTTATATGGTTTTGTAAACCAGATAGACATTTGTGCTAAAATAATTGAGATATTCTTGGGCATTCCTATCCACATACCTTTCTCTTCGTATTTAACTTTGTAATTTGAACAACCACCATTAAATACCAAACTATTTCATGATCTTCATCCTCATCTTTCAAACCTTTCCTTTTACCAAATAATTGCCTAATCAAAATTACAAATGTACCCCACGATTTTGGCTTCTGTCATTTGGGGTTGTAATCTTTTTTAACAATCAACAGCTCTAGAAAAACCTTTACAACCTGGTCAATGCCACTACATTTCGGGTTTATTTATACTTTTATTGATCAGGATTACAATCTCGTTGCCAATTTAAGCTAACAAATAATTTAAGCTAACAAATAGTTTAATAAATAAGTTCTCTTTGTGGTTGAAATGCATATATATATATATATATATATATATATATATCTCTAAAGTCATCTACATCGGTTCTAAAACCGATGTAAAATAGAGCGACGTAAAAAATGTATACATTTTTATATCGATTTTAAAAAACCGATGTAGATTTATGCTTAAATCTACATCGGTTCTCTAGCATAAATCTACATCGGTTCTCCAAAGAACTGATGTAGATTTATGCTTAAATCTACATCGGTTCTCTTGAGAACCAATATAGATTGCATTTAAAAAAAAAAGATCATGCTTATTTTTGGATTATTTCTGTGATCTTGTGGATGATAAAAGTAGAAGAGCATGATTTCTAGACAGTCCAAAATTGATGAACATCATCAGTTTATCTTGACTGGAATTGCCTAGGTCTTGGAGAATATAGCCCTAAGCAGCCAAATACATATGCCCAAGAGAGAAAGCCAGTTTTATACCAAGTTCCAACGTGCAAAATCATAAACTGAAAGTATAGAAGCTTCAATGTACCTGAGAAGATAACAAAAAGATGTTAATAATGTCAAACATACAAAATATGATGCAGTATCACCTAGTTCTCAGTAAGAGTATATACAACAACCATACACAAAGATACAATATCATCAAGTAGCCAATTCTTTATCTGCTCATATTTTAGGATAATAGTAAGCCCCTATTAGCTAGGAAAAATAGAAACTTGAACCACTATTTTAGTTAAAAGAAAATTAGAATTAGAGACATAAACTGCGATTCAGGTGAACATACGATCATAGTAGAACTTCAACTATGATTCATCATCATTGGAACTTAATCAACGATGAAGGAATAAAGAAAATAATTAAAGTTTCTTATTGTAGGAATAAAGATAGTCTTTCATTTAGGGAACCAGGGAACCCTGAAGTAACTAGAGATTCATCATTTATTTGGAGACACTTAAGAATAAAGTGGGGGCCATTTCACGTGGCTACTTTGCTGGGACGATCAAAGAATAGAATAGGAAAAGGCTAAAAGGAAAAAAATAGAAAATATAATAGGAAAATTAATAGAAACTCAGAATAAAAGAGATGAGTAAATTTCTTTCTATTTAAATAAATAAAAATAAAACAAATAATAAATTATATAAAATATTCTATACGAATTAAAAAATTAATCTAAAATAATTTAAAATTTTACACCAATCCATATACAATATGTTTAGAGAACTTTGTTTCAAAGTATCATATTCATTGTTGGGAATCACATTATATTGATAAAGCTACATTATATTGAGTTTGCGCAAAATCTTTAACTTTTCTATTTGAATGACTGGATGTACATTGTTGGCTTAAAATTAAAAGTAGCCTAATTAATCTGGTCACAAATCGTCTAAAGATGCATAATTGAAGTTTCCAAGAATGACATAATATTGGCTTACATCGTTTACAACCTAAGTCTTATCTAACTGACCTATGTATTGAAACCTTGAAAATATAAAGATAAGTTTATTATTGCACCTTTCTTCAAAACAATTTTTACAATTAAACGAAGAAAAAAAAATAATGACTATATGTTATTAGTATAAAACTTTTATACTATCAATAAAAAAAATTATAATAATAAAAGTTAATCAACTTAATGTACATATTAATAGGAAAGTTTAGTTTAATTAGTTGAATAAGGTGGTGATAACAATGGAATAGGGGCTAGTAATGATATCAAGGATGATAAGGACTTTGATTTGTGAAATAATGCATCAGGAACATCAAAACCAAGCCAAGAAATATGTTAAGTAATGATATCAAGGATCAAAATCAAGCATGTTAAGTACGTTAAGTAAGCTATAATCCAAGATTCCAAATAAATTATGTAGTAAAATCAAAAAATATGTCAATCAACCTCAACATCAAAACCAAGCCAAGAAGCTAAATAGATTTGGTCTCCAACTTATGCTTGCTGCCAGCACCATCAATTCATCATGATGTAAGAAACAAACAAAGCAAAACATCACAAAATAAAAACAGGCAATTAATCAAAAAGGTCTGCCAAACCTTTAAAGAAGGAAAAACAAGAGGCGGAACAGTGAAAGGGAGACGTTTTGGTCCTCCAGCCAATATGTGCTTCCTCACAGTATCTATGATATGCAATTTAGAGCATGAAAATTATGACACAAATTAAAGGTTGAACTCATAAAATACAACACAACCCCCTACCCCCTGAATAGGGGGTCAACAATGTAGTTTGCAGTCACATGCAACATATCAAGCATCATTATGCTCTAGTTAGAAACATTAAAATAACATAAAATATTATTTCAATTGTATTTACATAACATGTGCAATTAAGATTAAGAAACATTTACAAGTGCAAGAATTGATACCTGGTAGTATATGCCTTTAACATATACAATGTTTTTCTTAACTTGTGAGTGCATGATATGAATGCTTGCCATTCATGTGCCAATCTAGCAAACAGATAACAATAAATATATATGATTAAAATCATAATATTGGCATGAAAATTTCATATTTTTCAAAAAGAAAATTCAAGAAAATACAAATGAGATTTAACCATAATCTATTCCCCATGTCCTTAACTCCTTGTTTTCATAGGAATAAAGCCGCAAAGGCTAATTTCCTCATTACATATGAATCCAAAGTTATTCAAATTCCATGTATATACCTTCGACATTTGTGGACACTCTCCACTTCAATTTTTTTACTCTCTGATACAGGTAATGCTGCAAAAAGGTGCACCATTGTAAGGTAGTCATCCAATTCTCCAAGTGCATCCACAAATCTCGGGTACCTATAAATTCAAAGAATAATCAATTAAATTGGAAATTCATCAACAGTTCCATAACATAAATTGAAATCAACAAAACCAAACGAACCTCTGTCGAATAATCCTATCTATCTTGGGTTTGGGTGTTTTCTCCCGCAACCTGTTTGCATGTTCATGATTTTTCTTAGCCTCTGCCTTCTTTATTTTTCTCTCATGCACTCTTATTGCTCTATGCATGGTTGTCAAACTCACGAGTCAACTCGTAGACTCGTACGAGTTTACGATTCCAGGGCAGCAAAACGAGTTGACTCGTTAACAGACTCGTTTTTGGGTAGACTCGGGTAGACTCGGGTAGACTCGGTCAGAATCGCGAGTCTGAGCCCGAGACCACGAGTCTGGTTACGTTTTTTTTTACCCCTAAATGGCCCAAAACGACGTCATTTTTGCCTAGGGTTAGTTAGTGAGAATACCAATTCCCCTGCGTGCGAGCTTCCTCCACCATTCTCACGTTTTTGAGTCTCCCCCTCCGCACAATTGGAACGCGCAGCTTCGCCTCAACGAACGCGCGTCTCCGCCGCTGCGAACGCACGTCTCTGCCGCTGCGAACGCACGTCTCCGCCGCTACTGTCGCCACCCGCCGAAACGGACGTTGGCATTCGC